GGAACCACCGATAAGGTGTACAATTTCGTCTTCAACCACGGATGCCACGTCTACAAGTCGGTGCTCTGTCTTCAGGGCAACAACAAGTTCATCAGCCTCGGAGAGTGCCAGAAATACTGCTGCCCAGAATGTGAGCGCGTCCATCAGTGTGCATACATTGGCATTTGAGAAGACGACTTTCCTAGCCAGTATTGTAAAGTTTCTCGAAAGTTTCCAGACAGCTGCAATCAAAACATGCCGTTGCCATTTGCAGCACGACCTGCCTGGTATTTGTCTCACAAACAAATCGTGACTGACTACAAGCGAACCAATAATGTCGAAACGCAAGGGTGCTTAGAGCACGATTTGTTGAATTATAATTAGGGTTCCATGTTTTCCGAGTTCATTCATTTTTTTTTTTTCGGAAGTATTTCATCGAAGTCTTTTTTCCCCCAAATGTTTTACGTTTTGCAAACTTACGTTGAAAAAAAAAAAAAAAAACAAGGGAAGGGGATTGTTTAACCTGCGCGTGACCCTAATAGTTAAAAAAAAAGTTCCAGATAAAAAAAAAATGAAAATGCGACAAGGAATGCTGTCCCTAAAGGCAGAAGATGCCTCACAGCAGTTCAGTGCGTGTTCTGTTTTGGGTAAACGCAGCAATAATGCTGCTGATAAAGACTTATTCGCGTGAAGCTCGGGTTCTTCTTCAATATAGGGCAGCTCCTGTTCGGTTTCTCTTTTCAGTTTTCCCCGGTTTTGATAATATGAACTCGGGGGTAATGTTTCGCAGTTTATGAGTATATATACCGAAGACACACAGAATTAAAAAAAAACTCCGATCGAATTACACGGGTGTTAAAAGGTTCCCGAACGAGAGGCACAAAAAAAAAAAAAACTTATTATCATAGATTTCTAGTAATATATATGACTCGGAGACATCAAATCATCAGATGCCCCTCGAGGCAGACTACAAAATCCACACAACCGACTTAGTTATTCGCTTTCCGATCGGTCCTTGAAACCCATCCCTATCGTGTTTCTCGATCCGGCTGCACGTGGGGAGGCAGAGCACGTTGACCTTCCGCGACGCGCGTCTTTGCGGACTCCTGACGCAGGCAAGAGCGAGTTCTGCTCGGCGCGGGTGTCCGAAGGCCGCTGCCTGACGTCCGACCTGCGCTTCAGGTTCTACTACGACGCCAACAGCAGCCAGTGCGTCCCCCACCGGGGCACCTGCCTCAAGGGCCGCAACCGGTACAGGACGCTCGAGACCTGCGCCAGCCACTTTCCGCTCAAGAGTACGTCGCAGTCTCCCGAGCGTATACGCGAACAATTGGGCGCTGACGCTTTTAGAAATCGAGAAAGGGGCAATATAGATGGTGTGCAGTCGAGCTGGGGTTAGTTAATCCATCATAATGTGCAACATCAAAAACTGTGGCGAGTAAAAAAAAAAAAGAAGTTTTTAATTTAAAAAAAAAAGACCCAAGAGGAAAACGTCTCAAACTCAGCTCATTTGTTTTTATATTCCTTCGACTTTAACGTTTCTTCGTCCACAGAGTCATTCATGGCCGTCAAGGCGTCCTTGCCTCAATAAAGTGTAACGTCAACAAAAATCAGTTCAGCTCTAAGCTGACAGTGCAGTCCCTTCCATCACCTCACCCCGCTCTCGCCGCGTGGTTCTAGACGCGAGCCTGACCACGAGGCAAAAACGTCACACGTGGCTGTAACGTCATGACCCTATCGACCCACTAAATTTAGCGGAAAATTTTCGGCTAGATTTGGCGGGTCGATAGGGTCATAACGTCACAGGCACGTGTGACGTCACACGTGGCTGCACGCGTTGCATTGTGGGATCTTTTGGTCCCACCGACGCCGGATTTTCTTCCTAAGCGCTATCGCGTTAAAAGACGTCACAACGTGCTTGAAGAGGTCTTGATTCTGCCATTCACCATAAGTTTGAGTGCAACTGACGCTCTCTAAACCTAATGTGCCAAATGAGCAGCGCTAAATGATTAACGTCGTGGCGTTCGTTGTCTTTCCGTGAGCACGTTGTCACCGGCTAACACTGCTACATGCGGCAGATGCGCAGCGACCTTGCGCTCCCACTCGTTCGTGTCGAGTTGTATGTCTATTTTTTGCTATACGCTCTGACAACGGCAAAGCTTTATACTAGCAACGTTAGTGCCCGCGCTTTAAAATATGGCAGGTAGCGTAGACAAACAAATTTAGCCTATTTATTTTAAATTCAACCAAGCCATCAATGCTATAGCGTCGCAGCGGACCCATGGTGAATCTATTTTCGTCTTCTGTACCTTTGCCGAACCAAAATTGAGTCAACTACAATTTTTAATGTTGCACTGCGGTGTCTTAATTATCTTCTTGTCGTTCTCAATTCTAATGCTGTTGCGCAATGAGGGCGTCTGAAGCAGGGGGCAACGTGCGTTTACCTTTGATGACGAATCAGTACCGAAATCTTAACGTCCGAACATTGATCAGGTGGTTAGCCGTATTGGCACGATGGCGTTTTTCCGATTCCATATTTTCTGGGCTTTCATCGCCCTACATTAGAAAATTAAGTCACGCACGACTGGTCGGTGTTTCTTCACAGTGATATAAAGACGACATATGATTCAAGGTACGCGCGACCTCGTGTGCAGAGTTACGTCCTTCTCCACAGTCCACGCACGCCTTTCATTCGTTTGCCCTTGAAAGTGTTTTCCGACTATTAATCAATTGACTGAACGTAATGCGCACTTATTCTTTTCCAGGCGAGAACAGGCTTCGTTGCGTCCGAACCCCCGGATTGTGAAGAAAGCAAAAAGTTGCTCGGCTGGCCGATGCGCAGCTTGATCTTCAGCGCATCGCCAGACCGTCCAAGCGCAAGGACACTTGGTTCGATTAAACCCAAACAAATAAAAATCAAAACAATTTGAAAAAAAAGCCATCATAGATAGCTTATATGATTGTAGCATTTCTATTTAACCTGAACCGTTGAGGTACTAGTCGTAAATGTGAAGGAGATAGTTTGAATAAATTTTCGCCGCCAAAAAGCTTTGTCACCACATTCGTGATTTGATTAATTTATGATAATAAAGACCGATATTTATTGGTGAAAATGTACTCGATGTTCACTTGTAGCTTAATATTATGCTGTGATTTGCCTAAAACTGTCAGTGAAACTATTTTTTCAAAGTGCGTGCAAAGAGTTCTGATATGCATTCCTGATCGTCTATTTACATATTCCAATAAGCAAAGTGCCCGTGCGAATACCCCTGCCAACTAAGTACGAACACTTCCAGCTCACAAGGAGTCGAGATCTGTCTAAGATGGGCTAGTTGGTACGGCGCAAGAATACTGGAGGTGACGGGGAACAAAAGAAGACAGAGTGCTCGATACTTCGTTCACCCTTAGGCTGAGACTATAGAAGCTCCGCCTTCAGCGCGAGCTTTCTGCTTTTGTCACAGTCACTTATTGTCACTTTAGGAGCTACTGTGTCGTCCTCCTCATGATAGCCCTTTGCGGAGGCTGGTCAACGCCCGCTTGAGTGGCTCGGCATCTCGGTAAAACAAGAGAAGGTCGGCAGTGGCAGCTCAATTTGGCACATGCTTAAAGCGTCTATAGCAGTCTGTCTTCTGTCTAGTGCACGGTTTGTATTTTTTAGTCCTTTTTCCCAGATGCTTTTAGTATCCAAGATTTGCCTTAAAAAGAAAGCTCAACTTAAAATGTAAATGTATTCAATGAAGCAAAACAAAACAGGTAGTGTTATGTAAATTCAGATGCAAGCAGACGGCAAGAATTAAAAGCAGCACCCTGCCCGTTTTATAGCCTTTGATTTTTTGTCCAAATTTTGGTTTAATCTTTATACGTTAAGAAAGTTTATGTTATATGTGTTGACGTCACTTCAGTCAGTGCCCTTTCGGAACAACTTCGCCTAGCTATAGCACGTCCTTGCACTCGCGAGAGATCTTGATAAAGAAAATTGTTCAAAGTCGCCCTCGCTTCTTTCTCAGTTTTCTCAGAAGGCTTTCCGTTTTAGCGCCGGCAACGAAAGGGCGGAAAACTCGGCCAACAGCCCTCTCACCCCCAGGAGCAACGTCAGTGAGCGAGGGGAAGAGGGTCATCCAAACCGGTCCGGCGCAAAACCCGACCGAGCCGCTACGCCTGTGTTCCAGCGACAAGACGTTGAGGCCACTCCCAGCCACCGCGACCATGACGGCGGCATCATCGGGTCGAAGCGTCTGGCCAAGACGAACCCGACTCGGCGTTCCGATCCTCTGTACGAACCGAACCACGTCCCACTAATCCTCAACTTTCCTCCAGACCTCCGTTAGTCTTCGAAGGAGTTCGGCAAAGTTCCCAGCTGAGTGCGCCGAGCAACAACAGGCACGTCACGTATGCCTACTCGTCAAGGACTACGCTTTTTTGGCCATACTCGAACGTGAGTGGACTTTGCTGACAGTGTGCGGTGAGCAACGTCAACGGTCGTGAGCTGAGGGAGTGCAGTGCTCTTAGGGTACCCCAACAGCTACAGAGTTTTGGATTGCGGCCTCTAGGCCCACAACGCCATGACTACGGAGTGCGCATTTGCGTCGGCGGCAGCGGTCGCAACAACTGTGTTTTCTGTCCCTCACATTGTGGCTACCAAAACACAACTTTCACTTACCTTGAGGCCATCCGCATCGTAAAGGGGGGTGTTCCTTTAGGTGTGATGATTGTTCTAGTCTCAGCTTCTTTTGTTTCTTGGCTTCGATGAGGTTTCTGCACGTGCAAAGCTGTTCACCACCGACAACGTCTTGTGCTATTTGTGTCAGTTAGGTTACCTCCTGAACCGAGTCTCTCGGGTTCACAAAATGTGATAGTCACATGTGGTCTCCGGTTCCCGATACGCTGAAAGTTCCTATGTTGCCATAGTGATATACCTCCCCCGTCAAAATACTCTGCTGTCGTCGCTGAAAGTGATTGTGTCACCGCACGGATACTGCCATTGTCACAAAGTTTGAGAGAAACCAAGGACAACAAAAAACATGCCATCAACAGTGATCCGTCTCGCAGCTTACGCCGTCCTGGTGCTTGCCGTGTTTGCGATCCTGTGGTGCCAGCTGATGGGCACGTACCCGAAAACCTTAGACGACTTTGCGGTTCCCTTGTTCTCCAGGGCATCGCGGAACTGCTCCCGGGATTACTCTGGTCTGTCGACTCGCGTCGACATTGTATTCGTTGCCAAGTGGGCTTACCGGAACATGAAGGTCACTCGGTTGATGACCCGGTGCCTCAAGAGTATCCTCGCCTACTCCGATCGCTCGCTGCACTTCCACGTTCTCGCGGACCCGCAAAGCTACATGAGGCTCCGCCGAACTCTCTACAACGTACAGAAAGAAGCTGGCAAAATATTTCAGGTAACAACTCGCATAAGAGAACCGTGCACTACTATCTTTCTCTCTCACCTTTCCATTCTCTCTCTCGCTCTCTTTCCATCTCTAAGTCTTACTCGAAATTGTGCTATAGTTTAACCTATTTAATTCTGTGCTTACCCAAAGGTGTAGGATGGAAGATATTTACTCGAAAGAATATACTGACGGTGCTAGATAAATGGTGGCAAATGTACGATAGCCTGTTTCGTGTTTTTGTGACTTTCGTGCTGGTAGTAAAGCGTGGGAAGCAGTTCGACAGTCATTGCCTAAATGGCTATTGCCAGAGTATAGCTACTACCTCAAAAAATAAGACTTTGGCTGCAATCGTTTTTTTTTTTTTCACATCTCCATAGCACTTAATTTTAAATCTCAAAATTTGAAAGGTGTACACTAAATCTAAGGGGCGAGTGAGTCTTTTTTTTTTTTCGGAAATCGAACATGAAGTGTGCTAAAATGATTCCTTCACTTTTGTTTTCACAGTTTTCTTTGTACAACATCACCTCAGTACAAGTACATCAGCGAGAAGTCATCAAAGTGATGCGGACACTGTTCTTTACCAAAGACGTAGGCCGGTACAACGATGACATGTTCTTCGTGACGGAGGTCTTCCATCGCGTCTTCCCACTTCAACGCATCATCTTCATCGACCTTGACCTACGATTCGAAGAAGACATCGGCAAACTACACGACTTCTTCCACTGCTTCGACGCTCAGAACCTAATTGGAATCGGCTTTGACCTGCAACCCCAGTATCGCCTCGACTTCGCCAAATACAGAGAGAAGCATCCTGACAGTGATGTCGGAATCGCACGACCAGGCAAGCAGGGCTTCAACACCGGAGTGATGCTGATGGACTTGGACGCGATGCGGCACTCCAAACTTTACAACTCGTTGCTGACCTACAAAGACCTCAAGCCTCTGTGCGACAAGTACTATTTCAAGGGTTCCTTGGGGCACCAGGACTTTTTCACTATAGTCGGGATGGAACACCCTGAATTGTTCCTTGTCCTGGACTGCGTGTGGAATAGGCAGTTGGATACGGGCTGGTCCCATTCTGTGAAGAAGACTGTCTTTGATGAGTACCACAAATGTCCCGGAAAGGTCCGTATCTATCACGCGAACGGTGGTGCTCGTATGCCTGACGACAGGAGGTTCGCCAGTTTTTCAGGCTTTGGACGCAGCCAGAACTGGACTGTGGTCACTGGTGTGTAAAACAGGCACGGCCGACAAGGTTGGGTATACAGTAGCGTGACAAAGTCCTTCGTGAGGGTGGCGTGATTGTCGATGCCTTCAACGGTGTTTCGGGCGTTATGACATCCGCAACTCTGGAATTTAGGATAATGTTTGCTAAAGCCACTTGTGAACATATTTGACCTCTGTCTTTCTGCGGGATTTGATCCTCTTTATATTGGGCATTCGATACCCATCAATTGTGTAACGTCAGTGAGTTTGGCGTTTTTAGCATACAGGGTTTCTCAAACAGAGCTGTTTGGCCATCTTTGTGTCTTCGTCTTTTTTATATTGGTAAATACGACGTTTGTGTATATCAGGTAAGAAGGTTTAGTTGTAATCTGGATAATTAGTATCTCGCTCATAGTTAACAAACTCCTCACCAAATCTGCGACAAACAAAATATTAAAAGCAGCCCCTTTTTAGATGATTGTATTTAGCTCGGTACACCTCAGCGCTCATACACTTTTAGAGGGATTGTCCGGTGAAATTTCGTATTAAAGAAAACATTTAGACATCGTTGTCAATGGTTGTAGGAGCATCTTCCGCGACCAATATGAATTTTGTGTGCTTACCTGGACGAGTAATTGTATTTTAAACCAAGCGTGCATAGATGGCGTTTTTCTTTTCAACCTTCAGAGCAGCGAAAGCTTTGACGTAACGGAACGCAAAGATCGCGCCGAGCTGAAGCGCCCTTCGAATTTTGTCCTCCACGTGAGCGCTACGACGTGGTTTACCCTCGTTGCTGCTCCAGACTTTTTTTTTACTAAAAGGGGACTTTTGGAGTGCGGTTGTCACGCTTCGCACTTGTTCTCTGCGAGATTTACAGTGGCGAGTAAAATGGAACGCTGCGGTGCGTCGAAAGCACTATGTTCCTACGGGGGAATGAGGCATAGGAAATATTCGATCCGTGGCAGTCGATACTGATTTTGTTAAATTGTCTTCAAGTTGGAATAGAAAGAAAGGAGGTCCGAATTTACATGAAACTAGCTTGCTAAAAAAACACAAATTCGGAGAGTCGCTTCAGTTTGAAACATACTCGTCATGTTCGCTCGCCACCACTCCAATTCAACTTGCTAAAAAAAAAAAAATTAAGAAAAAAAAAATGTCGGCTCGAATGATCCCTTAGCGCCTTCATCTGTTATTATTACTTTTTTTCCTATCTCCGCTTCGGTGTTATCGCGTGATGGCCCGACAGAGCGAAGCGTTTTTACATACACATCATTATGCAAATTTTGGCGCTGAGTGAAGAGTCGCTTTCGTGCACTCGCTGCAATTAACGTCCTGGAGAAACGCACGCCACACAAAACGAGCTTTGGAAGAAGCGCGGAGCGTTCGAGCAATCCAGAACGTTCCCTTATATCAAAGGATACGGAATCGGACGAATTTGTAGCTCTATCGTTAACTGCGATGTTTCCAAACACGAGTTCCAAACGCAAATAAAGAACAGTCTCCACGAATACGGAAGACATTTCGATGAGGCGGTTTCAGACGACTGTGTGGGGTTCGCCTTGACGAGGTCCAAATCGCTTGGGGCAAGGAAAGAAATGAACGTTCGCTTTAGCCCTTCTCTAAACAACAAAGCGTCTCTGGCCAACGTGCGCCTATTGCACCGCCACATTAACTGCCTCGATGAATGGGCCGTTAATACATGCGCCGAATAAGGGGAAGGGGGAAAGGGGGGGGGGGGGAATCCGTGCCTCTCCTCGTGACACCCTCGCTTCGGGGACTTCTGGGAGTACCGGGGACGGGGGGGGGGGGGGGGGGGGTAGTTAACGCAGGGCCGTTGGTCCCCAACACCCCCCTTAGGGAATTTCCGCCTATGGATGTTCACACTGTGAGAGACTAGGTTCAGTGCGACAACGTAACTTGTCAGAGGGTATACTATACAAACTAGGGCTGGGCGTCGATTACATATTTTAACCCGATTAATCGCCACCATTTAATCGATTAATTAATCGATTAATCAGTTGCGTTAATTTTTATCATTTATTTATTAAAAATAATGCTCGTCTTGCTTTTGAAGACTTATTTTACTCTCTGCTACACGGCGCAAAGAACGTTTACAATTGAAGACACATATAGTTAAACGATTCAAAGACTCACATATGTTTGCTCCAGCTCCGAAGACAAAGAAGTTTCTCCGCATCTTCCGACAGGAAGACAAGAAGTCAGAGCTTGGGCCGATGCTTTCTGCTTTTTTTCCGAAAAAGGAACCTCGATGAGAAGGCGTTGATTGTTGTCTGCGTTTTGGCGGATGTTCCTTTCTGCAGCTCGATGGGGGCTTCGCTCGTAGACGATACTGAAGCGAACTTACGCTTTCACTGTACGAAAACGGCTTTTTGCAGATGCAGTGGACTTCCTTGGAGTTGAAAACTTCACCGCTGGAGTTTCCTTCAATCTGAAACTTTCCAGCGAGATTGCCTTTCATACTCGTGCCGAATACTAGAACAAGTTACCATGGCGTTGTTAGCTTCCCAGCTTGTTTTTCTGCTTGTTTGTCTTGCCTGGGCAGGATGTGTAAGAGATCCCCAACACGTGAAGTTTCGCAGTCGCGCGGGGATCAGTTGCGGGCCCGGCTTGTTCGTCTGGCCTCGGCAGAGCTGTAATGTATATCCTTGGACACGTGACGCTTCGCAAGCGAAATAATTGAACCTTGCTCATAACACCTGGCTGGGAACGGACTTCTTTTGAGTACCGATTAAAAAACCGATTAACCGGTTACAAAATTTGATTGCGATTAAAGCCTTAATCGATTAATCGGAAGTTTAATCGATCAGTTGCCCAGCCCTCATATAAACGTTACCTCAGTGGGACTCGCGATACCATGTATTCGCCTGATGCTTCTACTCTTCACTGTCCCAAATGGCTGTAGTAACTACACCCTTTGTCCCGTATACAACACCCCAAAACTAGATTTCGATGTTCAGTCCGCTGACGTCGAACTGACGGTACCAACTCTTACGAGCGGCTTGATAGCTGTGTAATATAAATTACTAAATAGCTAATAAACGTATAAAAAAAAAAAAAAAAAAAACCAGGGGGCGCCAGCAGGGTTAACAAAACCTTCACTGTTTTCCTGTAGTCTTTAATGCGTACATTAGTATATTTTAATAAGTTGTATCACTCGACTATCAAGCCGCGCGGGAAAGTTGGTAACGTCGGTTCGACGTCAATAGATTGAACGTCGAAGTGTAGTTTTGGGGGTGTTATATATGGAACAAGAGGTGTAACCACTACACCCCTATTTCTGAAAGTGTTGGACAAAATCATATTTTACAACCTTGAATAGAAGTGCAGGGACATCAGCCATAAACACTCCCGTCTTCCGTCGCCGTTTGGTGTTAAGTGCAAAATCAAAGCGTTGTTGCCTCAACCAATCTATTACACCGCTTCTGATTTACAAAAATATATTAGGGGGAAAAAAAAAGACACGGGGGTGGGAGTTTGTAGCTTTAATTTCGCTGGGGATAATAGGGTCAGCTGAACACGAAAAGACGAGAACACAGAGAAAGGGACTGGACAAACGCACCGCTGTGTGTTTGCCCAGTCCCTTTTTCTCTCTTTTCGTCTTTTCGTGTTCAGCTGACCCGATGGTCGTACCAACAAGCTCAACCAGAGCCCGTAATTTAAATTTTCTACCGATTTTAAAATATCTATGGTCGTCGACAGGTGCGAAACATAGCAGATGAGTCGCCTTTGAGCCCAAGTTTTTTTGCCTTTGATAACACTCTGTCGCACGCACTGGTAAAGCACGGTGGAAGGTGACGAGCGCGTAGTGGAGGAGGAACCTTAACTGGGCTCTTGACCTGTAACCGATTATAGATTCTCGCAAACGTCTATAAATCCCTCAGGAAAAGAAAAAAAAAAGTATCTTTGTACAAAGCACAAACACGTTTTCCGGCCACACAGTCTGGAACCGAAAAAAAATGTACAAGAAATGCACCCAGATTCTCAAAGGCCTATTTTATTCGTGCTCTACGCAAAAATGCCGCCCAAGCTGACTTCTCAATGTTCAGTTTGTCCCCCCTAAGCGCGAACATGTATTTTTTCGGAGCAATCTTTCGACACCGGAAACTGTACAAAATATACACCCGATGACGTCACTTCCGTCTCGACACACAGTCCCACTCTATACGTAGCGCAAGTTCGTCTGCTTCTTTTGCAGGGGTTGTGGTGACGTCAGAAAGACGCCGAGGTCTGATTGGCTCTGATTGAAGGATAGTGGGTAGACCTCAAAGCAAGCTGCCTTGAGGTCTACCCACTATCCTTCAATCAGTGTCATTCAGAGCTCGGCGTCTTTCTGACGTGAACACATGCCCTGCAAAGGAAGCAGACGAACTTGGGCTCCGGATAGTCTGTATCATCTTTAAACCCAACCGCTCTCTTTTGTGGATTCGCCATTACCGGCTAAACCAATCACACACACCCACAGACACACAGAAAAAAGCGCAGGATCGTGGCACATTCACTGCGCGTGTTTGGTTCAGTTGGTGACAGCAAAAGCAAAAGGTCGACGAGCGCCATGATGGTCCACTTTTGGCGATTTGTTGGTTGGCACCATAGGTTCGTAACGTCGACTGCAGTCGGTTGTAATGTGAAAACGGAGTTTAGAATTTGTAGCGCGAACAATTCGCGAACCAATTAAGACAAAAATAAATAAGAGAATGAACCAACAACAACAACACCGACGGCCCTTCCAAGTCTCTCAAATGCGCTTGTTCCTTTCTCTTTATTTACGCAATATAACTTCCAGCCGGAACAAGTGGTTGCGCGCGACACACTCGAAGCAGTCCACTACAATTTCTAGTGGTCACGTGACATGGTTGTACTGTTTCAGATGCAGAAAAAAGGGGAAGGAGGGGAAACAGGACGTGTGGACACGGCTAATAGGAAAGCAGCCTTCTCCGTCTAAATCAAAAGCGAAAGCAATTCAACATCCAGAGGAGAAAACCAGAGCCACTCCAATAAGGTATATACGCTTAGAGTAGCGACACTTCATTCCATGGTGTTTTATTTTTATTTCTGGCGACGTTATTTTGGTGCTGAGTGCGGAGTTAAGAGCAATATACACTTTAAAAAAATCGAGCACCATTGGCAATCACCATTTTTTGGGCACGATGCGTGTGACTGGATCCGAGTCCTCGCCGAAGTCTGACGTCACCCTCGTGTCCAATACGCGCTCAGAGCATGTGAGCAAACAATGGCGGATTCGGGTGATTGGCGCGGCAGCTACTACACTCGTACTCACACTTCAAGGCCAGTAACAAAGAAAAAAAAAGTTTGGCTTCTTGTTGAGCATAATTAATTTCCTCCTGTATGCGGTGAATTGCGATATATGTAGGTGCATTTTATATTAGCCCTAGGGTGTATTCAATGTACGCCACATTTGAGTGCGCAGTTCAGAGCGCATGCTCCGAACGAGCTCACATCAATTTAGGCTGCTAAGACCGGCAATCTTAATGTTGTGGAACGCACGTTTCAAAAGAACTGTGGAAACTCGCCGTCAACACGCGCTTAGCGGTCGCGCACACGGCTATGGCCGCCAGTGAGCATATGCTGTTTTATCAAGACGCGTACGTTCCAAACAAGAAGTGTAAGGTTTTTCCCTCGACAACCGAATTGTGCAAGCACTATATACTTCGCGCAGCAAATGAACATTGCGCAAAACTTTTTTTTTTTCTTGATGTGACGACGAGTGTATAGACGTCGCGCAGTTTTGAAACGGGTCTATTGTTGATCACTCCAATTCGAAAATGCAACTTCCAGAGTTATAGGTGCGGCACCAAAGGCTCGGACGATATAATGTTTTGTTCGCTCTTTTGACGGTCTGTTCTAACATTTCTGCAGGACGCCAAGACCGTTTTTCTGCGATTTGAGATAAAACTTGAGATAACTGGCAGCGATAAATTTAGGCACCAGGATGATTGAAGTGTCGCCACTCTCGAGCCTAGCTTATTTAGAGAAACTGCTGAACTACGAAGCAAACGTTTCTATGGGCCTTCGTAGCCTGACAGGAATGCCGCCGGCTCGTCGCATTGCAGGGCGACCTTGAAGCCGCGACGGCTTGACAATATCTTTTTCGAAATGATCGTAATAAACAAGACTCTGAAAGAGAACGTTATATCTGTGTTGGAGTGGAGGAGAAGGAGGTGAAGCCCTGAGGCGTTCGCTATAGCTGGGTACGTTATAAATGGGCTAATTTCGTCTGCCTCTTACTGCAGGGGATAAATACACAAAATTCCGGTTAGCACGCGAAACTTTCGTAGAGATGCCCGATTATGTAGATGCCGTGATTTAGTTTTCAATCGATACGCTGATTGCCTGGTTCGTTTCGGGCAGATAAACGTTCGCTGTCAGTGCGGTGCTTGGGTGTCTATGACGATCTTGACCATTGGTTGCACCCTCTTTCGGTAAAAAATAGAGCTATACAATGTGTCGACCGATGCACCTTCTAGAGATTCCTAACGTTATTAAATTTCTACCAGCTTGTTTTGAGAGCACAAACCACGAAAGGACATGAAGAGACTCCGATTATTTTTGCTGCAAATACAAACTTTTTGTAGAAGTTCTGAAATTCTTGTATTATGAAGTATAAGACGAGTGTCCTAGAGTCAAGTTCCGAGATCGAGGTAATGGTAACAGTTCACATATCCCAATCTAGTGTTGCCCTCAGACTGACATCCTATAAAGTGCCGCGCCTATACTACGAAAGCATAGCACTTAGGTAAACCGAAGTGCTAGAAACCTACCGCTAACGGCTCGTGCTCCGAGACCGGCGACCCATTTTGATCTCCTTATTATTAAAAACTGTGTACCTGTACAAACCTTTCTTAGATATCAACGGCCTTATATTGCCTCGCACACTACGACCCCCTACAGCGACCGATAGCTAAAGTTTTGTTCGCTTCTGGAAACGTATAAACCTTTGTGGTACATTTTTAGCAACAACGAAAAATAGCTCACCGAAAGGCATCGAGCTAAGTTACGAATAACCGCTACCTAAAACAAAAAAGCACCTACCCACGTGCTTTCTCCTGAAGGAACCAGCGCCCAAGTCCTCCCAGTGCGATTTCGTGGTCAACATTGCTACGCATAGAAAGATCCTACGGACTTCGCCCAGAAGACGAACACAGGCACTGCTCTTAGGAGTTACCAGAAAGAAACGCTAAAACTAGTCCCTCTTTCTAGCAGGCATCAAAGAAACCTTTTGTTGCATACAGCGTTCATATCGAACTCTTTCGTACATCCTGAGAAGAGACCTCATCTCGCGTACAGGCAACATAATGACAAAACAGCGCTGCCAAATCCAATCCACGGGTCATACCAGATTTCGTTATCCGAAAATGGTTGCAGCACTGAGCGCGGTAGCTAGAGTGAACAGGCGATCATCAATATTTTTTTTTTAATCTGAATTTGTCGTTTATGGTGCAGAGGCTGCGATCAAGTACTGCGAGTTTAGTGGAATGTGGATATGTGGAGCGCAAAGTCGGGAGGTCAATCTTGGTGCTGTACGCAAACATGTAAATATTAAATAAAATTCGAAGAAGAGACGTTGCGGTGAGTTCGTTCTAACTATTTCGCGCTGTACAAATAAACGGCGACCTTTGAGAATTCGGATATAGACCAATGTTACCAGGCAACAAATTGATGCCCGTATTATAAAAAAAAATTAACTCCAATTCGAGATGTGTTTTTTTATATGACTTTTCCGTCTCCGGGAAGAGCTTGTGGTAAAAATACTTATGTCAAGTAAACAAAAAAGAATAATTGTTCTAACAACTGTAACTTGGTGATAATACTCTGGGGATCCCGTGTGCTTTTACATAATAACTGGATTACTTTTGTTTAAAACGCTTTAAGTTAAAAACAAATCCCACATAGAGAAACTCAACTTCATTGTCTAAATGTCCTATGTTTTCTGAGCCGTACCGTCTTGTCTCTAGCCAGCAAGAATTATCACATGAGTCTGAAAGGCGAACAACGATCTGATTGACATTGATAGGCGGAACACTTTCTGAGGCAGCATACTGAAAGCTATGGGCGCCCGTGCGCTGATGCATCATCGGCCCCGGTTACACAGGGTTCTCAAACCTATAGTCTTCGCTCCTCAACTGCCAAACAAAGTGGTCCCTGAGTAGCGTACGCCACAATGTAACCGCGTCTTCTCCGGTTTTATTTACTTGTGACTGATCGCCATTTTTCATAACAAGAAAACGTTAACGAATGCCGAAATGCGGTTTCCAGACAACGCTATCTGGTTGGACTCCATCACTGCCCCCTAGGAAATTCTCCAACTTTCCAAATACCCTCCTTTTAGCGTGATGAAGGTTACTTGTTAAACGAGGCGCTAGGAATGAAGGGCGCAATGTTCATTTCAGTTGAGATGAACCATTGGGATGAAAAAAAACAGGTCCCCTAGGTTTGTGTCCGATCGCCGAAGGAGAACACTAAAAACTGAAGCGCATTGTCAAAAGGCCCAAACATTCAGTGCTAGTTCTTTGGAGATGTGTTTGGCGTCCTCGCCATCCTCGCTTCGGAAACTAGAGCCTCACCATGCTTTTTACATAACTCTCGTCTTTGTGCAGGTGGCTAGCGAAAGTGTTCCTTTAAATCCCGTTGTCGGAAGCAAACAAAGGGATGTGTAAGAACATAAGCTCGACAGCAAGTTTGGCCATGGTTGGACTCTCTAAGTCACAACTGAAGAACGAAAAACACGTGAAAGAAGTCAACAACTACAGTTAAAACCGCTTAAAGTTTTTTAAACAATTCATAGTTTTGAGTACATTTAACACGCTTTAGTTTACACTTGGTTCTTTAATGGATCTGCACCTTCGTGATGAACGTGGATGCTACCCAGTTCTTTTGTTCTATAGGTTACTAGGTAAGCAGAAAAACGGCTTTGAGTTAGGATTTTCTGGCGTGTGACGTCGTTTTAGAGACGTACGTTGACGCAGCTACGATAGAGGCGACATATTAATTTAGACAAATATTGCATCAATGGGTCCTTTCTTTTTCCCATTTCCATGCTGATCTCGTTGTCCCATATTAAAGGTGGTGCAAAGCCCGTTGTCTTCCGATAAGCGTAGTGAGCGCCAATGACAAGAAGATTAAAAATCTAAGAACTTGATTAATATGGGTGCTTTCGTCGTCGTACAGAAAAAAACATTTGTTTTCATGGTAGGTGGTTGAAGAAGTTTGAAAACGTAGAATTCATTGCTCCAGAAGTCGTCAACACGGCTCGATCAGTACTCACACGGCGACATCGACATGGTCGATATTTTTGTGTTGGTAGAAAATGCCTTTCCAAAAGATTCAGTGAATAAGGTCATCGTAACGACGAAAAGTACCGGTAAACAAAACAGCAACGCAAAACAGAACAAAGCATAATCTAAACAAAAAACGGTTCAAGAGCATTAAACATCAAAGTCCGTCAGCTATAGGTGGTCTCGCTTGGAATAGCGGAGCCAGTGCACTTTGGGCCACTGGCCCCTGTGGGCCACCATGGGTCTCTATCGACCATCGGTGGTCACTGGCTTGAGCGGCAACGTGCACACGTCGGGAAAACACACAACGATCAAAGTCAAAACATGAAACAGAAATGGCGACGCTTCGCTCACAATAGAGGCCCGTAGATGATTTGCTCGAGTTACCATGCACCAGACTTTGTGCGTTTTCTTTGGTCCAGGATCGCAGTTCATCTGCGGAAACGGCCGACGCAGGATCTGCTCGCACGACAGGGAGTATGCCGAGTTCCTTCCGTTTGTTTTAGACAGAAACCCCTTCGGGACACTTAGGCCTTCCCTCGGTGCCTCGGTCAAATCCAACCCATGTTCACAGGCTTATTCACAGGTTCGATACCGTACACCCTAGCGAGGAGAGGGATGGCCCCATTGAGGGACGTCTCGTCGGGATCCTTGGAGGCGTCATCCTGTTCCGACGACGACTGGACGACCACCGTCGGAACGGCGCCACCGCCTTCGAGCGAGTCGGCAACCTGCTGCGCCAGGCCGTCATCCCCAGAGTGCGCGTCTTCCCCGGTCGTGCTGACAGCAGCGTCCTCAGGCTCGAGGGTGCCGTTGATGGAGTTACGCGGCGTGGGCACCTTCGAACTGGCGCAGCTGGGGATCGGAGACAGCTTGGATGTGTCGGCCGCCAGGACGTTGCAAGACGCGCTCTGGAGGTCGACCCCCTGCGCCCTGGAGTAGGCGCCCCGGGGAAGCACGGACGACGGCGGAGCGCTCACGGTTCGATGGGCCTTGCGCTTCTCCGACGACGAGTGCCGGAGGGAGTCATGATCCGAGAAGGCCAGCTTGACTTTGGACCTGCTGAAGGTGAGCGTGCCGAACTTGCGCGAGATGCGGCCGCGCATGGACAGCGACGTCTCCGAGTTGGAGACGGACTCCTTTTTGGGGTCCGTGGCGGTGCCGGAGGACCCGCTGGACGTGGAGCTCATGGTCTCCTCGCTACGACTTCGCGAGAAGGCCGCGCGGGCGCTTCGCGTGGCCTCCACCAGGTGCCCCCAGCGACCGCGCTTCATCTTGCTCTTTTTGCTGGCGAGGCGCGCCAGGCGGGCCAATCGAGACACCGGTGACTTCCGCGACGTCACTTCCTCTATGTTGATCTCGGGCGGGCTCGGCATGGAGCCCTCGATGAGGCCGATGTTGAAGCCCTTCATGAGCCGGCGCTCCCGTTGGCGGCCCTTCTTGCCTCCGATGCCTGCGTGCGGGCACGGGGGAGAGCAAACGACAGTCAGGGGCGCTCGTCTCCAGAATGAAACCAAGAAGCGAAAAGACAAGAGGCAGAGCTCGGGCAACCAAGCGTCCCAGGGGGAGGGCGATTAGGGACATGCTAAGGGAAGGGCACAACGGAACGACAAAGGAAAGCAAAATGAACCACACTGCTCCATGGCACCGTTAGGGGACAACAACGTGGAAAACGTTCATATTAAAAATAGCGCAAAAGAGACGGGACAAAAAGACGAAGAAGCACACAGGACAAACGCTACGGAAAACGTCAACACGGGCGCGTGCCTTCGAATCTTGCTTTCTCTGCACAAGTTCTTTTGAACTCACGACTTTCACAACACCCTCCGTCTGCCAAAAGGTAATATATTTATTCAAAGGAATCGGGAGAAGGAGTCTGAAATGGACCCTTTTGAAAACCCCAGCAGGCAACACTGACGGTCGCCATTTCTCAGGCACGAAGTGTGTTGCTAGATTCGGGTCCTGTCCGAACACTGACGCAGCACTGATTTTCGTTTCAAGCTGAGCCATGATCACTCCGAAAGCTAAAAGAGTCCTCGTGTCAAAGTCATGCCCAGAGTACGTGCCCAATGGTGGCTTGAGATAATCGTCGCAACATCTTCTGGGTGGCGCGCACTTTTGAAAAGGGCCTTAGTAACTGATAACGTAACAAACACAGGGCATGGTATGTTATGGTTCACGCTTCTCGCTCCTTTCCTTGGCGTTTTAATTGGCGAAACGAGTCGACAACAAGCAAGAATTCCATAGCTGAACAAGAGCCGGGGCAACCAGGAACAAGACAGACATAGACAGGCGTCAGCACCAAGACATCATGCTGATAAAAAAAAATGAGAGTGGGCGTTGAGCACGGCGATTTTTAAACCTGAAGTCCATCGGATACACTCAGCTTAAAGTAGCAGGCCAGCTTCTCTTAACGAAACTAAGATTCTAGAGCATTGAATTTGAACTTCAAGGCAGCCTAAAGCCGATGATCCACCTTTTGTCAAAAGAGCGAGATCTGATGGCACATGTGGATTTTACTCGCAGTCAATATCTCAAAATGCGCCGCACTATAGACTCTGTATTGCCACGCTCGTGAGCATGGCAATACGGAGCTTGTCATTATATAGATGCTTGCAAGCATGTATATAATTCCAAGTTTTCTGTCACGCAAGTATTTGGGTGACATGTCAGCGTGCTCTTAAATATCTAAATTCGAAGCAGCGGGCAACAAAGACAACAAATCATATTTAAGCTCAGGCCGAAACATTTATGGAAATAACATGATGCGATATGATCTCTCCCCGATCCGACAACTAGCGAGCTGAGAATAGTACGCAAAGGAATGTTTCGACAAGCAAGAAATCGAAGGTGGGATGTGAACTTTTCATGCAACATGCGACTTGCAGGTTACTTGAAGCGGGAAAAAGTCACAAGCACCCACGAAGTAAAGTATGGCAGAGCGCAGCTTCGACAGCCGGGAACATGTTTGGGTTGCCTTATATTTAATTAACTTATATTATTTTGTTAACAAGATGCGACCAGAAAGGGTCTCGTCCTTCCCCGACATTGCGAGAAGATCATTTCAGCGTACAGGGTGTTTTTCCTTTTGACATTTCGTTGGTTCATTAAAAATGTGGACTGAACGCCAGCGTAACCGGTTAGCGATATTCCACGCAATCCTAATTCCAGCAAGATAAAAAAAAAGCTTTTTTGTCTCAAGGAATTTTGCTATCGAAATCACAGCAGCAATAACCATCGTACAATCTTATAACAAAGAGCAAATAAACGTTAGACAAAGTAAAGATAAACAGAAGCTTTATACTTATATGTCCAAGGTGCCCATCAAGGCGTATTAGCATCGATCGCCACTCTTATCGCGAATTCATTTCTGTACCATCGTGTAAGGACAACAACAAAGTGGAATTCACAAACAGCCCTAATGTCCACACTTAAAGACATCGACTCTGCTTAACATCGATTTCGGCCACAGAGAGACCCAAATTACACCCTCCACTTCTAAGCGACGCTTTAAAATAATTTCAAAAGGCTCGCCGCTGCCAGTTCTTGAGAACGCCGAGACAACAAGACCATTTGCGACATCTGTCCATACATCACGACGCGACTAATACCCCCTGCCATCGGGGTATCATGCCGAATGGAACGCGCAGAATTAATATTGCGGGCTTATTCGCCGATGGCTCGATTACCATTTGACTAAATAACATTTCCAATGGAAGCGAGCCCTAGACTGTCGTGCACATTATGCTTCAATTCAGTCGGAAGTTTGCCACGCCAAGATGTGACAGCAGGCAGCATGCGTTCGTGCATACTCAAAGCAATCACGACGGGCAGCCACCAAAGGAACGCTGTTGCAAAATCAGGTTCGAGTGTGCATGCATTACAACATGCGACGCCAGCGACGCTAAGGGAAAACAATTGATTTAGTGTAACTCAACCGGTAACCTTGCGTTTGACTAACAAAAATTACTCGTTAGATAATGGGAAGTTTCTTTAATTGTTAAAACGATCTTTGTGTTCAGATCTAAGCGATAATGCTGTCGAGTCACACCATATATAGTGCCTGGAATGGGTCTCCGTTTGATGTGTTCACCGCGTCTTATTTTCCGGTTCCGATGCTGGCAGAAGCAGTGGGAGAGGAGGAGAGGAGAGCGCGCGAGGGGAGGTCAGGACGCCGAGCTCTGAGTAAAATGATGACTGGGTAGACGCCAAGGTGTCTGCATTTGTCTCCACTGCACTCGCCGAATGCGCTAGAACGCGGAACGGCGGCGTCCGGCGTTTGGCGCTCGCGTTCGACAACGTTCGACCGGTGCAGTGAAGGCAAAGGATAGTGGGTAGGCCTCAAGGCAGCTTGCTTTGAGGTCTGCCCACTATCCCTCCATCAGAGCCAATCAGAGCTAGGCGTTCTTGCATCACCACAACTCTTGCAAAAGAAGATGAACTTGCCCTCCGCATAGTGGTTATTATGGTACACTGACGCAACAAAACAAATGTTCTTGAAATGTTCTTCGACCTCCCATGAACTCTTTCAGCTCGCGAAGGACGGTTGCGCCTTAAGCACTTCGCCCCCTTGCGCACTAGAAAGGCAACTGGGCGACGAAGAACTCTTTCGCATCATAAAAGGAGCTTAAAAGAACCCCTTATATGTTTTTTGGAAGCACCCTTTTATGGAGGTGCTTAAAATAACTTTTTAGGTGCAAAGTGTGGACAAGCCGAAGAACCCCTAAAAACAATTTTACGAACAGGATTTTTTTTTTTTCTTTTTACAATGTAGCCAAGTTTGCGAAAAAAATAGCGTCCTTCCAAAGCCGTCCTTCTCCGTTGCCCGTAAAGGCGTTGACGCTGGTGGCGCTAGGAACGCTATCCGCCCGCAGCTGTTTGCGTGCAATCAACAGAGAAGAACCGTTTTCGAACGGGAGCTTGTCAACTGAGAGATCTGGGAACGTTGGTTCAGTTGACAGAAAGTACAGCTGCCAATGTTTGGGACATCACGACGAAAGCGATTTCCACGTTCGCGCTCCTTCTCCGCAAGGTGGCGTCACTGACGCGAGCAATTCATAACAAATGTTGAGATAAAAAAAAAAAAAAAAAAAGAGGAAGAAAACACTGTCTAGGTGGCGCAAGTCGCCGCCCGATTTTAAGGGTTCAGCTGAATCTATCCATCCATCTAGGCGCTGCTGCGTGGATCCACTAGTTATGACGTTTGGGAGGAGGAGGGGGAGCTTAAGCAAGCCTCGCCTCGTGCAGGTATTGCTCAGATACCCTATAGTCACTCTCCAGAGAGAAAGATGGCACTTACCTTGGTTCTGTCCGCTGGCACCGGAGGTGTTGAAGCCGCTATTCTTGAGCACTTCGAGCAGCTCGTACCGGAAGGACGAGATCTCTTGCTTGATTTCGTTGACGTCATCTTCCGTCACCCCCTGGTTGTCCGCCTTGCGTTGCTCGCTCGTGATGTAACGGCGCACGAGGTTTCGCATTATCGTCTGCAACATGGAGGCCAAGCGGAACCTTCAGAGCCTTCACTTTTTCGTCTACCCGAACAACTGTCGGAGCACCGCAAGACAGGGAATGCTGTCTTGACATCGGGTCAGATATCGTTTTTTAAAAGCGTACGTTTCAGTGTCCTGTCAGTTTTGTGTTTGCATGCCAACCGATGAAGGCAGACATTCATTGGTTATCTTGCCTACTGAATACCCACCAGATATGCGCGTTAGTGGCGGGGAAAATAGCTGTGGGCACTGACTCGGCATAAAAGGAATCACCCGGCCATCACGTGAACACCTCCTCTAGCCGGCTATAATTTGTCGTACCTAGAGGTGGACGAATAGCCGTTCGGGTCGAATAGCTCTGCGTCATTAATAGCCTTCACAGTGCTGGGGAAACCGACGACACACGGGCTTTTTTTGCAGTGTTGAAACTAAAAATGACGCTGCGCAATTAGATTCGAACCTCTTTTAATCCCCTCCTTTCACCCCAAGTCAGAGCGCAGCGGATGCTACAGGCTGATGGAAACAATTATGTCAGCTTCAAAAGCGCAACGCCACGACGTTAATGACCTTTCTGCGCTTGCACGACCAACGGCTGAACAAATCAAGCGCTGGGAATGCGTCGTGACCTTACGTATTTAGTATGTAGTATGTCCGTGGGTTTTCCATTAGAAGTGTGCACAATACAACAACAAAACAATCAGGCAAGTCATGCTATGGTACCAGGCTGGAATGCGCTAGTTTAGTATAATGTTCACACTTCTAAGACCAAGGGATGTATGTTCACAGTATACAAAACAATAAGCAGTACATTTAATTGTGGTTCCAATGAAACGAAGTATAGACATTAATGACATAGTAAACTAGTAAACTATACTTCGTTTTACCTTAGGTCCGAACGCGGGCGATGTTGTGAGCCGAAAGGCCAAGCAAACAGCGTGAGAAGCGCAGCCCCGTGGCGCAATCTCTGCGCTTGGTAGATCAAGCCGGCGGAGGAGCCCACGGAAAGATGGCAAACACGGGCTGGTTTTATTAACTGCAGAGAGCACGCCATGACGGTGTGCCTTGTTTGCTGTTTTATTGACCGTTTGGCTCATAACATCGGCCGAGCTCGTACCTAAGGTGAAACAAAATATAGCTGTGATTTCTTTGTTCGTTTTGGCTTTTTTCTTGCCATAATCTCAGTTAAAGGGATACTGAACGAAAGAATTTTGTGCCCATAATAAGTGGCGCACGTTCTTTCCACGAGCCAGCCGCCGCCGGTCTGCGCGAGCACAGGCAACAAACATGACGTCAAAGACCTCCATTCGCGGTTAAGATGACAGTGAAATGTGTGGGCTTGGGACAAAAGAGAGTAAAGCAGGCTTTTCATCTCTGCAAGTGAAAGCTACGTGCTTGTTAGACCAATTAATCGCTTACCTTTTACACCAGACACCACTGTGTAGATGAAAAACTTGTCTTTATTCTCCCTTGGCCCGAAGCCCATACATTTCACTGTCATCTTAACCGCGAATGGGGGTCCTTAACGTCATTTTCGTTGTGTGTGCTTGCGCACACCGGCGGCTGCTGGCTCGTGGAAAGAACGTGCGCCACTTATTATGGACACTAAATTCCTTGGTTTAGTATCCCTTTAAATGCTTGACTTGAACTAGCTTGCCATCGTTCAAATAATTCTTTAGACTGATGTTAATTTTTGAACAGCAGAGGCTATGAGTGACTCCGCGGTCTCTCAATAAAGCAATTATTAACCGGAGCCCTACGTCAGCTTCCGCCACGGAGCTTCCGACAAATGTTGTCCTAGAATAAGATTCTGGTGTACGAAGCGCTCATACCACTGCGCCACGCACATCGGTCAGAAGTGAAAAGTTAACGGCGAACTCAAAGGAGTTAATAAACAAACAAAAGTTTTTTTTTTGTTTTTTTTTATGGTTCGCTGAGTCACGATTAGCTCGAAATAAATAATTGACGGAAGTTCTGTTGAGACTAGGTGCGTAGTTAGGACATAGGAGCAAGGTGTGTGTTCTACAGAAGCTTGAGAAACTGCGTCAACGCAGCCAGAACTGTGGCATCTAGCGAAACGCACAAGCATATAAAAAAATCATGTCCTTCAAAGTTGTGACCCCGCTTATGTGTTTTATAAGGAATTATGTCCGATTTTCTAGTTACTTTTGCGCGCTTTCAGGAAAAGGAATACAGTACCGGCTTTCAATATATTACGCAAGGTCCGCAGTCAAACATCTCCAAGCACTTGGGTCTCCGCTAAATGTAATATTCAAGGTGTTTGAGAGAAATGCTAACCGTGTTTTTTTCACAGCAAAACCAAACCACCTTTCGCCTAATGCTCACTCTCAACGCCAACGTAGCGCCCAGTGGTTAGGATGAAAAGCAAAATTTTCATGGCTAACTGTCATCTGACTCAAAAGCTGTAAACTATTTTCAGGAAACTTTTTATTACAAAATGTTGCCCGTTTCTTGTATCACACGAAATTCATCTCCATGTAATCGCAGGTTCCATTGGCCGCTATTTACTAATTAAACAAAATGAAATTGGTTGTAACCTTTGAATTAGTTAAGACTGAGTTTTGAACCTTTGGGAACTTATTCCAACCGGTGGATCATTTGGGCGGAGACTGACTATACTGCAACACCAACGCGTAGTTGATTAATGATGCAAGACAAACACGGGAGATTTCTCAGTCTTCGTGGCAATCGCCCGCAAAGTGTACGTGAGAATTGTTCGCTTCTTTGCCTACCTGGTACTTCAAGTCTCGTTCGCTTGCTTGCCTGGCCTTCTTCTGCATGAGTTGGTAAAAAAATACAAATATTTAGTGCATTTTTTGGGGGGAAAAGGGGGGAGGTCACTTTCTACGACACTGTTTACTTTCAGACGCCTAAGGCAGAAAGATAGCTTAATTAAGATATCTATAGCATTAACGAAAAAGTGAGCAATGGCTTGAGAAACGCGTGGTTTATTATATTAAGCCTTCTTGCTTCATAATTCGTTCTTCTGTATTCTTACTGGTCAATGAAGCATTCTAATTTACTGCTGAAACAAGAATTAAATTCTCGGAACTCACCATGTCCTGAGTTTCTCTAAGTGACATGATGCATAAACTACGAGTGTTAATTTTCTGCACGCTAGACAAGGGATATGCGTTACACCATTTCACACAATAAGGCACCATTACTCTACCACGGCCCTGAAGTTTTTTAACTTCTTTCACGAGTGGCGATAATTGACGCGCATGACAAAGCACATTTTGAGGAAGATGCATATCCTTTCCCACTTTCAGTGCTGCCATGACACGATGGTCTTCTAACCTGTCTTCTCCTTGTGAGTATCATTCTTTGCAAGAAGCACAAAGTGCACCTGGGGGGGGGGGGGGGGGAGGACCTTCACCAGCTCGCATGCATCACCTCTTCAGTTCTTGTCAGTGGTTTGTAGCGGTTCGCGAAAGTAGAAGTTCGTTACCCTGATGGTCTTGAGATGCTCCTTCTTGGCCGATCTGGAGTTGCCGCAGAGCTTGCGGTAGCACCATCGGAGGAAGTAGCCGAGCGTTTTGGGCGTCGGGATGACGTTGAAGGGCGGGGGCACCGTCCCGCCGTCCTCGAAGTAGCTCATCCAAAGCTTGCACCGGGCGAATTTCCATTCCACGTCGGCGTGCTCCTGCGGACGCCCAGCCACGTACTGGCCCGTCGTTAGACGCCCTACTGATTCAGCGTACAACGTGGGGCTCAAACTGCGGTGCCAGCTAATTTTTTTTTAAATCGCAGGTACACTAGGCGGTAGGGGCACAGACACCAAGGCTAGCTAATTTGAAATGAAATCAATCGGTCTCATCAAAGACAATCTAAAAAAAGCCTGACAAAGGTCACGTAAGCACGAGGGTATAAACTATAACTGACAATGCCTTTTCTTAAGATTGAGCAAGCCGGCCCAAATTTCTAATCAGTAATAGCCTACCTGTCAGTCGACCAGTCGACAAAAACTTCAACAGCATGAATTGGAACTTCTTGAAGCCAGCAAATCCTGCACCCGACCGACTTTGGTGTCATCACTTCTTCCGACAACCATCAAAATTGACACAATTTAAACTTCTGGCAGTTTTTATTACATAATATTGGTAGAATATCTTCTTGCCGGAAGGCTAAATAGTTTGTAATATCGCGGGCTAAATATTAAACCACTTCTGACTTGATGCAGTCGGTCGGATGGCACCTGGTTACAGCCACCATCGACATCAAGTCAGACCGCTGATGAGAACTAATAATATAACCTTTGGTACTCTTGTTCCAAGATGAGACACTCCAACGCAGAGAGTTGCCGGCAGTCACCAACCATTACCGTTTCCCACAATAATCGTCATTGACCCACGGTAGAAAGAAAGCGAGATGAGCAAAAGAGAAAAGGTCGCACCGATATCATCTGGTAGGAGTGATTCATCATGGCGATGAGAAGGTTCAAGAGCACGACCACGTTGATGACGCAGTAGGAGCCAAACATCAGCAGTCCCCAGAAGCGAGTGTAGCTCTGGATCCCCGAGAGCTCAAAGTTGTCCAGGTCGATCAGACCGAAGCTCGCCCAGAACAGAGTCTGCGATGACTCGAAGAGACTGCGAAGAAGATCCGCGCAACACCCTTGGCATAAAAATCCTTGAAAGCCGAAAGACATTTAAATTTGTTTAAAAGATAGATGTTGGACAACTGGCTAAGACATGCTAAGATTAAATAATAAACATTCACATAAAAATCTCTGAATGTATCACACCGGAGCGATATGTCGTTAGGTATATGTCGCCCCTAAAGAACAACTGCAGTGATGGGAGGCCCTCGGCAAGCATGCGCCTAAAAATTGTATACACAGCAAAGTATCCAGCTAATCCTCTAAAACTTCGAAGCCCGTGTTTATTATGAGAGGGTTTTCAGACACGAATGTGTCTCATTTATTTTAACTGTATCCTGTAGTTGGCTAACTCACTCAACTTCTTATACAGCCAGCACACTGTGACTGATGCTGGGCCCATCCTGTGCGAGGCAACATTCCAAAATATATATATATGCCCGGTTAGGAGTGACGGTTGCGGCGACATATGCGTCATTAATGAGTTTACACTTGATGGCTTTTACACCAAACCCCAGTATTTGAAATAGCCGCTAAATCAGGTTTGGCATTTGACATCGTCCTGACTCGGGGTGCCAGACTCCGGGCACAGGGTGCTAGATTGCGGTTACGAAATATCAGACTGCGGATTTTAGGTTACAAACTTCGGATATCGAATTCTAGCATCGAGGTCCTGAAATCTGGATTCTTGGTTCCAGTTACCGGATTCCGGATTGAAGGGTGCGAGACTGCTGGTTGCGGATCCCAGACCCCAGATACCAGATTCCAAAATCAAGGTCCCGAAATACGATTCTAAATTCCAGGTACTGGATTCCGGATGCCCGATACCGGCTGTGGATGCCTAAATCTAGATCCAGACCTCGGACACTGGATTCTGTAATCGAGATCTCAAAATCTGGATTGATGTCGGATACCGGTTTCAGGCTGCCAGATACCAGACTGTAGATTACAGATCCGGACGTCGGATACCGTATTCCGTATTTTAGGTCCCGGAATCCGGATTCCGGATGGCGGATACTTGAAGTTGAATTCCGCTTACAAGAACACGGTTTGAAAAGTCGGACGGCGGCGTACTTTGCGAAGCGCCTCCAGGTGAAGCAAACGCCGTGGTCGCTCTTGAAGGAGGAGCCTCCCGACTCCCGGCTGAGCTTGTGGCACAGCTGCCGCTCGTTGTCCGCATAGTACCACAGGAGCTGGTTCATGCCGCAGGCGAACGCGAAGAGCACCAGGGTGTACACGAAGAAGAACTTCACGATGTCGATGACCATGCGGCCCAGGGAGATCTGCAGGGGTCCCAGGTGAGGATTCACCGAGAAGATGTACACCAGTTTCAAGGAGCTGCACCGACGGAAAAGAAACGAGGACAGGGATCAGCCTCGGACACAGTACATCCATCTTGCATTCTCGTTTAACGTGCAATACAAATTATAAACAGAGGGGTAGTTGAGGCGGCCTTTCTCCAACCCGGACGTGCAATTTGATTACATCGTCAGCTAAAAGTTTAAAGGACACCTCATTATTGTTCTCCCTGTTTGGCAACAGATCATGACCAGCGGAAAATTCTACAGTTCTCAAAGCTTTTGTTGGCAGTGTGTAAATAATTAAAACATTTGCTAGAACTTTCCAAATGGCTCTGGTTTCAAACGAGGAAACATTTTAATTAAAATCTTATTCATTTTGTAAAAAAAATGTTTTTGAAAGCGAAGTTTAATAATTCACTTTTGAAAAATGTCCAATTAGCCAAATAAAAAAAAACAAAAAAAAAACGTAAGTGACGGCGGTACCTCCCTAATAGAAAAGGCTATGGAGAATCTACGCTAATATGACACGACCCAACACAAAACTTAAAGGAATGATTAGGCGAGCAACTCAGACATGCCTGAAGATATTGGCTGTAGCGAAGAGGCCTTCGCTGATCAGGATAGGGTCCCAGGGGTTCCATTTTTCTCTAGGAAGGTATGCAGTCCCCGTGTTCCGAGCAATCTCATCTTGGACCTAAAGCGAAGCAATACTTGTTACCCACATTAGACAGGAAGCAGTGGCACCCCAGGAAAAGCGCCAGTGTCGAAAGGTGAAGAGGTATATTCACTAGACGCGAGATTTCAGGTCGCTGTTCGCAGCACATGTAAAGAACTATATCTGTCATCTGCTAAAAACAGCAATTCTGATCGTTTAGAACAAACATTAAACGCCTATGACCATGGAATCTAGCCAAAACAAAATGTTGGTCGGTGTCAGAAAAGGAATGAGAGCAAGTTCTGAGCATGCGCTGTTAACTAGTTTCTAATATGGCCTTATGAGGTGATCACTTTGCAGGGACGAAGCAACAATCGCAACGCTTTAAAAGAAGGTAAGTGCATCCATTTTCCAGCAAGACAGGCCGGTAGCCAATCACTAAGGACACCGGAAGGTTCACAGCAAACGATGAAGCTCATGATACGATTATATATTAAACGAATACCATGCGCGCAGGAAATGAGCGGGACGATTCACTTGCTGTTCACCAGCTTAGAGAATAGAAATCAAGATGCTTCAAATGGGATTTGTAAATTATGATTTGAATCGTGCTATAAATCCGACCAGTTCTACTATGATAATTTAAATCACACCTTTCCCGCAAAAAATAATTCTGCAAATAGCTCTTTTTTATCGTTTCTGTATCATAGAATGTGAGATTTGCATTTGTTTTGTGCTGAAATCAAAGAAGTTAAACAAGAAAGATTTATATCAAACCGAACACAAGCAAAAAGCAGTGCTTTTTTGGGCTGATCGAGGCACTGAGCTTTCTTTCTAGCTTCCACTTCGTTTGTCAGCCTGCTGCAAGCAAATCTTGTATGGCCGGGTTTACACAAATAAAAAGTTGTTAATTATACAGTGCTTCAAATTTACTGTAATTCTTTCTTCCACATTGTTATCAGTAATCGGACGGATTGATCAATCAATCTGCCATGTTTAAACATACAAGGAGGAATAAAGAGTTACTATATTCTTTCTGTCGCAATTTAAATCAAATGAATCTGATTTAAATTAAAGAAAAACGTCTGATTCACACACAGACACCTCTTTGCGGAGTATAGGGAAGTTACGCGCCCCTGACTTCCCTCAGGACAATCGGGGAGTCTAGATCTATGAAGGAAACTCAATAAATGCTCAAGGTAAAAAAAAAGTTGTTTGGCCTATTTATGAAGATTGCAGCGTACCACTGAACACGACGATAGCCTGTGAAGCGTCATGGACATCACAGTTTTTCTTTTAGTTCGAAGCTTTTTTTTTTTTTTTTTTCTCGGCATTGCCATTTTGCAGTGCTTCCTGCGTAAATTACGGTGGCTGGTTCTTGGGGTTGATGCTGACATTTAGAAATCCTAATTAAAAAAAATGGCATTAAGCATGGGGCCGGAAATATGCGCATAAAATGGCGTTTATGCTGCTAGATAAGATTATTATTATTGTTTAAAAATAAAATAACCCAACTTATTCCAGCTCTCGCAAGCTTTTTTGTTTTCTTCTTCTTCTTCTGGAGTCTAGACGTTTGTGTTGAGTTTAGGTCATGCCAAAGTTCCTCCACGAAAAATGTTTTTAAGGTATAAAAAAAAGAAGCATGGTTTTTATGCAAGGACTACGTAATTTTATATTAAAAAAAGGCCAAATTTGTTTACTTTTCCAGGGTTAAGAATTGTATAAAACGTATACAACCTGCTGTACAGTCGCGAACGACGAGTTTAGATTAACTTTGAGGGCTCGTTTTTCACCTGCCCCGTCTCAAAAAAACATCGGAGCTGGATACTGCATGCCTCAAGCAACTTCAACGTAGGAAGAGAGGTCTCACCTGTAGATAAACAATTAACCTAAGTGCTACGGTGGCTACATATAAAGAGTTGGTTATAAAATCAATGATGTTCCACATGTCGCTGATGTACTGGATGAGTCCCAAATCCCAAAGTTGCTTCATCTCGTTCCATATCAGCCCTGCAGGTGGAGTACAAAGAGGTCAAGGTGAACATAAAAAAAAAACACAAAGTAGCTGATGACATATAAAGAGGGGTGGCATTAAACAAAGGTAAGTGCGTAGAATAATATCTCGATAGAAAATGGCTTGTACTTTAAAACTATAAACGATCTAAACGTTTTTAGCAGCCAAATAATTCGGTAATTACAGACACAATCATCTTTAACTAAAACCAGCGTTGCACGAAATAGCATTCCAAGAAAGACGTCCCTAAAACGCGTTCAGGAACGGACCAACGCCGTTGTTTGTTCCATCTTGCAGTGGTGGAACAGGAACAGGAACTCGTTCGCTTTCAAGAAAACGACCGGAGGAACAGTGTTTTTCTTCTTTTTTTTTTTTGTATATTTATTTGCAATTTGATTTGAATTTAGTACGCCTTTAGTGTTTTTATTATCGAATATTTCAACCTCCGACTCAAAGGGTCGGGGAAGTGTCCGAGAGATAGTCGAAAACAAAGGACTGGAACAAATGTGATTAGGGCGACTTGACACGTATAGTTCGATGGGGATATTTTCACTTGCTTGATTTATTTTACCTACGGATTATCCAGCACAATATTTCTAATAAAAAATACGCAAAAGTAACGTTAATGAAACGACACGTTTCAATCTTCGAAATGAAACGGTAACGAATTCCTCTGAAACCGCGTTTAACTTGTGGCGGAATCAATTTCTAAGATTGAGAAGAACGAGGAACGAGTTTTCGTTCCTGCTTGGGATAACACGTACAACACCGACTAGAATCTATGCTAAGTACGCTCAAAACTAATTTTGGTCTCTTAAAGGTGCGGTGCAAGGATATTCAATTGGAATGTATTTCACTTTACACGAGCTTACTCGCACTGTAGTGGGACTCAAGGATAGTCGCACGCAACGCCACTAGCCAAGAAACTCTTCTGTTGCGATGTAATTTCAAGGACAACAGCGAGCGTTTTTATTCAATCTCTCCTTCGGAAAACCTGATGATGTAGCTGGGAGGTCGCAGTACCGCCCAGTGACGATATTTGAAATGCGGGTCGTAGACTGCACCTGATCATTGCGTGGGCAGTTGATTTGGGCTGGAGATAATCGATAGCTCGAGAAGCATTCGGGTAGTGGCCCCTGGCCAACCGCTGCAATGACAACAATAGCCGAACCATAACAATGTCTGGAACTCAGCGCGTGTCCTGTGCCTTGCCCAACCCCAGCGCGGTGCTATGATCAACATTGGCGACATATAATCGGCTCCAGATCACGTGGCCGCTTGTTCTGGCTGAGAGTTGAGGGGGGTAAACGCTGCTCGTTTGTTTTAGAGCGCAGCTCTTAGGGGCCCGTTCCCAGCTTGAGCGGCGTCGGCGTCGCCGTCGGCGTCGGCGTAACCAAAGTCATCCCAAGGTCACGTGACCCCAAGGTCACCCCAAGGTCACGTGACCCCTCCCCAAGGGTCATCGGGGGTCACGTGACTCCCCAAGGTCACCCCAAGGTCACGTGACCCCTTCCCCAAGGTCACGTAGCTCCCCAAATCACGAGACCCCCGATGACGTCATCAGTGACGTCACTGATAACGTCACCGGCATCCGCATCGTCATCGTCATCATCACTGATGACGTCACCGGCATCCTCATCGTCATTGTCATCACTGATGACGTCATCAGTGACGTCACTGATGACGTCACCGGCATCCGCATCGTCATCATCACTGATGACGTCACCGGCATCCGCCTCGTTATCGTCATCATCACTGATGACGTCACCGGCACCCTCATCGTCATTGTCATCATCACTGATGACGTCATCAGTGACGTCACTGATGACGTCACCGGCATCCGCATCGTCATTGTCATCATCACTGATGACGTCATCAGTGACGTCACTGATGATGTCACTGATGACGTCACCGGCATCCGCATCGTCATCATCACTGATGACGTCTCCGGCATCCGGATCGTCATCGTCATCATCGCTGATGACGTCATCAGTGACGTCACTGATGACGTCACCGGCATCCGCATCGTCATCATCGCTGATGACGTCATCAGTGACGTCACTGATGACGTCACCGGCATCCGCATCGTCATCATCACTGATGACGTCACCGGCATCCACATCGTCATCATCACTGATGACGTCACCGGCATCCGCATCGTCATCATCATCATCACTGATGACGTCACCGGCATCCGCATCGTCATCATCGCTGATGACGTCATCAGTGACGTCACTGATGACGTCACCGGCATCCGCATCGTCATCGTCATCACTGATGACGTCACCGGCATCCGCATCGTCATTGTCATCATCACTGATGACGTCATCGGTATCCGCATCGTCATCGTTACTGATGACGTCATCAGCATCGTCATCGTCACGTGACCCCCTAGGTCACGTGACCCCCACCCAAGGTCACTTGACCCCCCAGTACCCTTCCCTCCTCCTCCTCAAGAGCTGCGCTCTAATTCGGCGTTACAGGGAGTTGTAAACGGCTTTCACTTTTTTTAAAATTCTTTTTGCGACTTCAATTGCGTTGGTGCAAAACAAACGGGTGTTTTACATGTCATTAACGTCAGGGATCGGCTTTAAGCGGTATTTCCGCACAGTAAAAACATCGTTGTATCGCCCCTTTAATGTGCTCATACACGTTTTTGAGTTAACGTCGATTTGTTTGTTTTTAGCCCCAATACATCTATTCTCTATCCCATGTTCGCATAAATATACCGAGCGCTAATACGCCTAAGTTTTGTTTTACTAGGTTTACATTCCCTCCCATGCTCTCATCAAGTGCGATTGTGTCTTAATTTCGTATTGACACCTGAGGCATACTTAATTCAAATCTAAAGACTGCTGGTGTTTACATAAATTTTAGGTGTTCGAGCTGCGTAAAGGCTGAACACACACCGAAAAACGCCGACTGCTTTCCGTAGTCAGCGTAATTGTGCAATATATTTGTTTAAAAAAAAAAAAAAAACGATACGAATGAACCATGCAAGCCTGAGAGCAAAACACGATACTTTGTTTGCTGTTTAATCGACATCATGAATGAGTTTGAACTTAATAAATTGTCTCAAGCGTGGTACCGCCAGAGCGGAAAACAACAAAGTGCTCACTGACGTGAGCAGTTTGTACCCATTGGTGGCAAACATTTCTGACCTACTTAGCATTACCAACCAGCCATAAAAGCCATAGAACAAGCCATTGAACAACTTTAGATTCTGTTGGCCACTGTTTTAATCGCAAAAGACCGGCTTTCTTTTTTTGTTTCTTTTTTTTTTTTTTTTACGTTGGCAAGAGCTTTTGGTTGTCTGTTCGTTCAGTGGTGATTAGAGTCCCCTAAAGGGGCCATGAAACGATTTTTCTACTTTCGCTAAATACTACTTAGAGTCAGTCCCTAAAGTTCATAACTCAATAAACTTGCCTTAGTTTTTTCTTACAAGGCAATGGCAGTCGCCAAACAAACTCGAAAAATATGAGCATCCTTCATCCCCTCCACTCGGAGCCAGAACAAGCGACCGCGTGGCCCGGTGCCTTTTCTATGCCTCCAACGTAAATCATATACACGCGCTGGGGTCGGCAAAAAAGGAAGCGGGTGCTGAGCTCCGGGCATTGTTCGAGTTCGGCTATTCCCATCACCGCAGTGGTTGTACACGAGCCACAAACCGAGTGTCCGTCGAGGCCTTGATTGTTACGAGCCAGAGTCGAGTGCTCACGCAGTTCTCCTGTCCAATCCACGAGCCGCGCTGGACTCTCGGTAGGCGGAGGCTTTTGATACCACAATTAGGTCATCAAGCTTCACGAAGAAAAGACTGATAGCAATATTCCCCTTTTGTCCTCGCAATTTCACCGCGACCAAGAAGCTTCTGAATCAGCGGCGGCCCAAGCGAGTATAGACGCTTTACACACGCGCCAAATTACAGCCGCCATTGCTGACCTTCTCTTGTCTTACCGAGATGCCGAGCTACTGAAACGGCAGTTGACGATCCTCTACGAAGGCCGATGCTTTAGAAAAGGACACAGTTGAATCTAATGTGGCAATAACCTGGCCTGCTATGGTAATGATGAAGTAAAATAAACGGAATAAGAGGAAACAAAAACTGAAGGTCAGTTATGGCGGCGTCCATGCACAGCTGCTGTAAAGCGTCTATACTTAGGCCAGACTGGGAGCAGTGCACCTCTGCAAAGTTATGAACATCGAAACCCGATATGCTTTTATGCCCCCTTTAAGGAGCAGACAAGCTGCTCATACATTATTAGAAAAGAAAAGAAAAAAACACGCAGTTTTTTTGCGAACATGATGACATAATTATCTGCGGATAATTATGTCATGTTTGACTCATAAACACGCGTGCTTCAAACATGTCCAAAGACGGTTAATGTACGGGAAATGCCACATGACTGCCTTGAAAAAAAAAAAAAAAAAATACACGCCTCAGACAGTTTTTTGCAGATTGTCCCTTGAACGATGTATATTAGCAGTGTGATATGGCGGCTTTAGATGAGCTCGCTGAGCGGACGTCCAAATCTGCATGGGCGCCACACTCACCGACGACCCAGGCCAGGATCATCCACTCTACGATGCTGGGTGAGGCCCCTCGTTTCGTTGTGATATCGCTTCTCACTTTCATCTTCATTTCGTCCGTCCCGAACCACTCCACCACCACGGTCTCTATCCGCTGCGATGCGAGAATAAGCAAGACTGGAAAGAAGAAAGAGAATACAGACGAACTTCGCTATAACAAAGTAGCATTAAGAGAAAAAAAAAACAAAAAAAAACGGGTTCTGTCTTCTTTGCAGGGGTTGTGGCGGCGTCAGAGCGCCCAGCTCTGATTGGCTGGGAGCGAAGGATAGCGAGTAGACCTCAAAGCGAACTGCCTTGAGGTCTACCCGCTATTCTTTAATCACAGCCCATCAGAGCTCGGCCTTCTGATGTCACCACAACCTCTGCAAAAGAGACAGAACTTGCGCTCCGCGTTGAAGTACACAGGACAGGTGCCCTTGCAGTCGTTTCGCTACCTGAGAATCACTAAGACTGGAAGGAAGTTAGAAGATACCGCTGAAACCTCGTTATTGTGGCGAGATTCAACTGTGCGCCCCTAGCGGCTAAGTTGAGAACTAAATCTATGGGGACAACAACATGATTTCTTTTGTTTGTGTTTCTTATGAAGCACACAGCCTGACGCGTAGCCGAAGGCTGCGTGAATGTTTGGTTGGAGCTTAAGTACATGATGCGCCCCGCCCTCTATCGAAGATGACGCAAAGATTTCTGGTTGACAAGCGTTGCGCTGAGTAAACACCGGGTTTTATAAAACGCAAGCTGGATATAGCTCGATCTTTTAGTTAATAACAAAGTTGTATCGCGGGTAAAAACTGAGTTGGTTACAGACGATATTTGTTGTAAAAAAAGACCACAGAATCAAAACTACCGAAATACGGTGTCGAATGAGCGAACAGCGGTGGTCATTTTGTGGATTACACTGACAAACTGATTGACGTTTTGGCTTTAAGTAGGTCAGGTTTTGTCTAGTTTCAGCGACGCTCACATAAAAACGTGACGTAAGACGCCGAGTGGCAGATGAACTTGATGAACGGCTTGCGCAGGGTGCGGCCGAACTCGGAGTGGGGCGCCACGATGTAGGCGACCGAGTAGACCGGAAACAGCATGCCGATCTTGATGGTCTGGAGCGACTGCAAGATGATGTTCTTGCGGCGGAAGCCCGGCAGGCCCTCGTACCAAATGGACGCCAGCAGCTGCTGCACGTTCGGGTGGGCGCAGAACTGCGGCCATGACGCGCGCATGCGCAGAACGGATCAAGCTCTAAACGACCGTTATCGACACACTCGTCACCACTGCCAAACAAAAAACGGAATCGCCAAAGAATGCTGGTTCGCACATTGGCGTTTGAACGCACGCGATTGACTGCGTTTCAACCGGCGTAAATATACGCAAAGAATAAGGCGCAATATATTCGCAGATCGGAAGGCTTCCAGGGCTAGCCAATAGGCGGCGCCAGTGTGTTATTTCGTCAACTCGGTCGCTCATAGTCAAATGCAAATATCTGAACCAGCCTCTAGTCAGTGATCGAAGCCTGACCGCATGCAGTCATTCATTCTGAAAAGTCATCGTGGCGATGAACGGTGGCAGAGTCAAGGTGGCACCTTCTTTTGCTTGAACCTGATGGCCATCTTGAGCCTGCTCAGATGCATCCGGTCACCGTGCTCGAAGGCCGGGCCCGTCGGATCGTAGTTGAGCAACACCTCGAGCTCGTACGAAGTCCGCGTGTGGTCCAGGAGCGCCGTGGCGAAGTTCTGGCACTTTCGGCGGAGTTCCTGCGCGTCGGACGGCGAGCGCAGGGTTCACCCGAATTGGAACGCACATCGCATCTCGCTGGTGTTCTCGACCACGAGGAAGTTGTAAAAGTGACCTTTCTTTTATTTCTAATGATTTCAAGACGCATGGAACTTGAGCCAAGAAATTGAAAAACGCTAAAACTTAGATTTTGAATTTTTGGCTGGCCATGTCAACAAATATAAGACTACCGCAGAGACAAGATAGCGCATTATTCTCGCGAATGCAACTCCAGATTCCAGAACCATTGTTTTTTTCTCTCTCGATTAAATACACTCATCCCCATAAGCGAGGCAACACCTTGCTCAAGGCGTCCTTTTCCTCGATACTTTGCATCGATGAAATCTATTTGATAGCCAGCCTAAAGCCATATTCACAGAGTTGCGCCCGATTAAGTTTGACTACATAACGACCTCGAGTCACAGGGACATCCGTGCTTTAAACAACACCTGCAAATACAATCCCCGAAGAGGTTGCCGTGCGGCTTACGAAGCACAGATGTCTCGGTAACTCGCGGTCCTAACTCAATAAGAGTCCTCATAGCGCAGTCAAATGTAGACTGCCGTTCAAGTTAGGCCGAATCAATGATCTATCCAGGCTGGCGTTACGACGTGGCTTGACATGGTGCCACTCTCTGTACGCTCTAAGAAACTTGCAGCGCTGACTTTCCCGCCAAACACTTAAAAGCGTTAATCGCTGCAGTCTTTGGAGGAAGTTCGGCGAATGACGAGCCTGATAATACTTTTAGACATTAAAGAATGTATGCTCTGTGGCAAGATGAAACATCATGACCAGTACCACATCGTAGACTGCTCTTTTACGTCCAAACTTATTCCACAACACTCACGAGGTACTCGCTCTTGAACTCGTGCTCGAGGAAAGCGAGCCGTCGCAGCTCCCCGCTCAGCTCAAAGGCAGTAAGAATTGGGTCCTTGGACGACAGGGCGATGAGCGACGGAGACGCCAGCGCCCGGTACGAGTTGATGCGGGACCGGGAGTGGCGCAGAGAGTCCTCGGATCGGGACCGGACGCACTCGCCGCAGCTACACCGGACGCCGTGGGGCACCTGGAAGGTGTACCCGCGGTCCAGCAGGATCTTGAGGATCTCGTAGTTGTCCCGGTGGGCGGCCAGGATGAGGGGCGTCATGTCCGGCGTGAAGGCGGCTGTGTCCCGGTCGATGGCTTCCCAGCTCTGCCAGAAAAACACAATCCGTCACATTTAGTGTCGAGAACCTGACTCGAAGGTTAGAGTTACCGGAGGAACACACCTTGCACCATCATGTCTGGATCTCGCGTAACTTCGCCACTTTAAAAATCATCGACGGAGACAAACGCCCCCCTTCGCTAAAATGTCGTGGCATATCATGTTGTGGACAGGGCTTGATTCAAAGAAACTGAGTTTCGTCGAATCAAGCTCTATTCACAAGGAACTACCCATACCATTCGCCAAGTTAAGGATCACCATACCATCACCAAGTTAAGGGTCGCCTTAAGATCGCCAAGTCAAAAATAATCGATGAAACTCTGCTTGTCAATCAAACTTAACTTGGCGATGGTATCAATAAGGCGTTGTGAAAGGCTTGACCGACGTTTAGCCAACGGCGTTTATGTAACATCTTCAGCAATTTTACGAGCGTTTTGTTGTAAAATCTAAAGTTTATGGAACCTGAAAAATTTCGTAAGAAAACAAGCATGTAAAGACAATAAATTAAATCCGCAATATTGAATGGTAAAAAAAAAAACAAAAAAAAAACACTTGCGAAACGGTCACGTGGCGTTTGCAGATTCCTGCTAACCACTTACCACACTCGAACATTTTTAAATCTCTCAGCCATGTTTTAAACAAAAGACGCTACCACTAAAGCGATGGAAGGATAGTGAAAAAGGAAAAGGATGGTCACGCCATAAGCATAGACATGAGCTCCTGGATCTGGTCTCTCAGACCAGATCCGGAATACATCCTCGATAACGATCAAACTCACGTGCGGCTGTCCGGGCTTCCTCGTTGCTTCTTCCCTCTCCAGCAGGACTTCGACTGCTTCGACGTACTCCTCGCTGATGGCATGCAGCAGGGCGTCCTTAGTGTCCACCCGGTGGCCCAGCAGCAGTTCAATCATCTCCAGATTCTCATTGTCAATGGCCATGAGCAGTGCCGACCGTCCCAGAGGATCCGTGCAGTTGCAGTTGAGCTGACTGTGCCCGGCCTCGGCGCTTTCCATGTACCTGAGCACGAGAGACACATCCTACGTTGCCTTACTAAACAAAAAAGTGTTAAATGAGTGCGTCAGAACGCATTAAATATATAAGGCGCACGTTTAGGTTCTTGTATAATTTCGTACGTATTGTTTGTTTATTGCCCACATTTAAATAAATCTCTTCACTAGGATAGGAGCTGACATCTTGAAGGATGTCCTCTCAGGCGTTGCATTCAGAAAAGATTGTTCACCGAGATGTCCTTCGCCTAAAGATACTCTGGTTTGTGCATCAACTTTAGCTCACCCTTAATCCCCTTGCCTGGCGCGAAACATCGGAAGAACATGGGTTGACCGCACCGCAGTTAGGCACACCCCTTTCCAGAGAGCTGGATTGTGTCTGCTCAAGTTAGGCCGATAGATGATCTCAATACCTGTATTTGATTTTCGGCTCAGAGCGCACAACATAAAAAAATTACCGCATCTCCACGTGGTGAATGATGTTGATTGGGGCGAAGCTCGGGTGGTGCTGATGATACTGATTTTGGTCATAGGTAGTGCTGATGGTGCCGTTTTCATTCATGTCAGTAGGAGAACGTGTGGTTTTCTTCTTTTTCTTTTTTTAAGAAGACAGATGGGATGGCAATTCAGAACCCCCTACTCTTTTTTTTTTTTTTGATACTGATTTTGGTCATAGGTATACTCCGTTTCACCTTATGGTGTACCGCAGCGAAGGCTAGAAGTGCGAGCTCATAGCATTTGCAGCTGCCGTTAATGCGCGAGAGCTTGTGCCGACGCGATGTGCCCTAGAGCAAGAAGCTCGCGCTTGTAGCCTTTCCATGCGGTGCATGATCGCTTGTAGCCTTTCCATGCAGTGCATGATATGGTGAAACATAGTATAGACGCTTTGCAGCAGCTGTGCATAGACGCCGCCATAACTGACCTTCAGGTTTTGCCTCCTCTTATTTCGTTGATTTCATTTCATCATTACCATAGCAGGCCAGGTTATTGCCATATTAGATTGAACTGTGTCCTTTTCTAAAGCATCGGCCTTTGTAGAGAATCGTCAATGACCGTTTCAGTTGCTCGGCATCTCGGTAAGACAAGAGAAGGTCAGCAATGGCGGCTGTAATTTGGCGCGTGTTTAAAGCGTCTATGGTGCTGATAATGCCGTTTTCATTCATGTCAGTAGAAGAATGTGTGGTTTTCTTTTTTTTTGTAAGAAAACAGTTGGGATGGCAACTCAGAACCCCCTACTCTTTTTTTTCTTATTTTTCTTGATACTGATTTTTGTCATAGGTAGTGCTGATGGTGCCGTTTTCATTCATGTCAGTAGAAGAATGTGTGGTTTTCTTCTTTTTATTTTTTCATCTTTTTTCATTTTTTCTTTTTGCTCTCGCTGCTGAACTCACGAACAGGAGCTCGTGAGCTCCTGCTCGTGAGCTCCTGCTCGTGAGCTCCTGCTCGTGAGCTCACGCGCAGGGGCATGCCGGACGTTTTTTCATATTTTTTTTCTTGCTCTCGCTGCTCAACTCACGAGCAGGGGCACGCCGGACGGCGGACGGACATACGGACATGGCTAGCCTCTAAGGAGCTTCGCCCCTATACTTCGTTTCAGCTTCGGTCCGAACGCGGCCAATGTTATGAGCCGAAGGGCCAATCAAACAGCGAAAGAGGCACAACGTCATGGCGTCCTTCCTGCAGTTGATAGGGCCAGCCGGTATTCGCCGTCCCTTTGTGTGCGCTCCTCCGCCGGCTAGTCGTATCAAGTGCAGAGAGCACGCCATGACGCTGTGCTTTTTGCGCTCTTTGATTGGCCCTTCGGCTCATAACACCGTCCGCGCTCGGAACGAAGCTGAAACGAAGTATAAAAGAGACCCACCACTTGACCCCCCACCGAGCGCGTCTGTGTGACTGAGGTGACTGACAGTGAAGGGAAAGGTTGGGCAAGAAAGAGAGTAGCACACTTTCAAATTATTCTTGGTTATATGACCACAGCGATAATGTGCTCGGCGAAAAACCTCGCTGATTTTTTGTTACCTAAAAAAAAAAGAGGATGAAAAGGCTTGGTATTGTTTTGTTCGATCCAAACGAAACAGTCGAAAGAAGAAAATCCTGGAACCTTGGAATGGCAGCTGACGCTTCGTTGAAAAGACAAGCTTCCCCAGTTCAACATTTTGGGCAAGGTGCAAAAGTCGTACAACCTAATTCTACACATTAGACGAATACTAATGTCTACGAAAAAAAAAATTGGTTGGAGCATAGGTTTACAATGCTGCATTATTTCCGTACAGCCACGGCCACAGCTGAAGAAACATCCACGGACTCCTGCCGCATGACGATGTGGGGTGTGCAAGAAGGGAACGCCTGTGGCTTGGAGTTCATTCCTCAAGTTGAACGATAAGAGAAACATCAGCAGCTATCCTGAGTTCCAATAAAAAATTAATTTTTTCCCTTTGAGTCCGTCCTTTCATGCGACTTTTGAGCTGAGTTTCGACTTCGACTCCGGAGGTAACTATCGGCAGACGATAAAAGACTCCGACCAGAGGGCACGTATCTGAAAAAGTCCCTCCGCGCTCTTACAATTTTCGGAGAGTTCTTGGGTGAGTACCTTCGTAACTTACGGCTAAGAATAACACCGGGCTCAACGCGATCACATCGTGCCGAGCGTTAAACGTATATAAGAGGACGCCACATCGAAGGTTTCGCGACGAAATAAAACAAAATCTCCTGGCTTAGAAATTTCATTAGATGCAATGAAGCATGTGCTAAAGGACAGTGATGGGGTGTGTAAAAGGGAGCACTTTCTTTCGGTGTTCACCAGAGACACTTCCCCGCTAATATGGCGGGTGAATTGTGACGTCACGTCAGGTGACACATTTACGTCGCATGGCACTGACGTCACGTCAAGTAGTGACTTCAGGTAGCACTGTGATGTCATGCGACACCATGACTGCGCATGATAGTGCCACACCACGTGCGACAAACACGAGCAACCAAGGTTCGTCGCAGATCCCAATTAAACCTATCGCGTAAAAAAAAAAAAAAAAAGAAAACAAGAAGGAGGGGTTTGCTCGCCTCCGGGCCGTGGCCAGGTCTCCCCTCTCGACGGCCAGCAGGAACTTCTTCTCGTCCAGCGTGAGCTGACCCTCCATCTTGACCTCGGCGGTGACCCCGGGCTCGTCGTCGGCGCCGTCGCCGAAAAAGCGGTTGCCATCCATCGGAGAGCAGTTGCCCTCGACGCCGTCGCAGTAGTCTCCCAACACCCCGGCCTCCACGTCCATGGCGATCACAGGGAGTAGGGTCAAGGCCTCCAAGCCAAGTCGTCCGGCATGTCCAGGCTATGAGCTGCAAAACAAAAACAGATTTCGCAATTTTTGTTTGGTATTACAGCGAAAGCCGTTTTTAAGGAGTGTTGTCCGACAGCTCTTTTCTCTCCGCTACCCTGTCCGCAGCAAAGACGCAGCTACTGCACACGCGCTACTCTAGCCTTGTCTGCAGAGATCCGGAGCTTGTTGCAGTTTTCAGAGAGAGCGTAGCGGGCGGAGAAAACGGTCAACGAAAACCATCCTTCTTGGAGAAATGTTTTGCTGTGGATTCCGTGCGCGCGTTTCGCGTAAGTACGTCATAAACCGCTTGATTTAGCGGATAAAGTGATTCGTTAAATTTAGCGGGAATTTAGTGAAACGCGACGTCGTGGCGCCACTAGACGTCAGCGTCACGTAACTTCGGTGCGTCACCCGAACGCCGTCCGCTAATCTTTAAACACGGCATCGTAGCTGTGTGCGCTAGTATGCAGTGACTGTCTACACGGGTTTATTTCCAGGAGACAGCACGGAACCGGGAACTTTTTTTTTTTTTTTAATGACTAGCCCAATATTTAGCGGTGTTTAAATAAATATTGGAATTGAATAGCTCCGTGTCATTCATATAGCCCCAACACTGTAAAGGGAGCCGGCATGACTTGTACTACATTGTCCCGGCGCATGCCTTTTACCGAAAAAGCTCACCCGTCTGGAAACAAAAAAATAGATGATTTGTCTAATAAGCATCCAAGAACTTACATATATAACTTGTATAATACATATGTTTAGGTCAATATAATATACTCATATATTTATCAAACACATTCAATTTTTTTTTCATTACGGCACTGATGCACTGTTATTCAATTCAGACCACTATCACCCCCCCCCCCCCCCCCTTCTCCTAATAATTTTAGAATCGAAAACAAAAATGGTTGCAATACGCCATCGAAAGTGTCTTCTCCATTTGTGTCTGCCCAAAGTTCGAAGTAATTGCGTTTTACCAGTGATCCCTTCGCGTTTCTTTTAGGGTACGATTTTCTCACAGCAAAACGCGTCGGGTTCCCGGCTCGTAAGCACAGGCGCTAAAAATAATAGGACAGCCACAGATAAAATTTATTTCATCCATATGGTGACTCTACCAACTGTGCTTTAAATATAAAAAAGTTTTTCATAAAAATATTGCTTAACCTTAAGACGGCATATAAACCTGGCATTACAATGCCGTCTCGCAAATATATTTCGGATCAACAATTTTAATAATTCAATTAAAAAAACAGTGCAAACAAGACCATATTAATATGCATTTTTTCTTTATATTTATAAACTACTAATTCATGACTAGAACACCGTGTCCCATAATTTCATCAAAGCTTGCGATCAAAGCCACCTGGAGACAAATTCCTGAGTATTTTATTACTCTAGACCGAGAGCCTTCTACTGTAAAGGTCCGCATCATTCAAAAATGGTAGCTCCTATTACTGCTCGAACAAATAGATTTTAACGGTCATTTTTGTGCATACTCCATGAATCAAGCTTCCCAGTGACGTTCTTGAGATTGATTTACTACTTTCTACTTTTTCTACTTTTACCACTTTCTACTATTTTCTACCTATGCAAAGGCCCTAGATGTTTGTTTCATATGCTAAAATATTTTGATGTATGTATAGCTCCTTTGTTATATAGTGTAGTGTAAATGTGCCAATTTATGAATGAGTTTACTAATTGTACAAATCGTCTGCGCTTGTCGAATTTCATCAAAATGTTAAGGCTCTATGCAGCCGAGTACATTGTGTAAAAGGAAAATGCGTACACAAATTTTGTGACTTTGTTTCGGCAAAATATGTGTCAATTTTACTACCATCAAGGAGATTAATACATAAAAAAATTGTTTTTTATCCATCAATAAAACCGTCGTATGCTGAATATTATTTTATGAGAATCTTAGCGGACGCTAACTCCAGTCTCAGTCTTCCAGGCACGCGATACCGTGTCTAGTTTCAAAATCATCCTTTTGTCAACTTTTTTCTGTTTTAATTTTTCTTTTGCTTTTACTGTTGTTGAAGTTTTCGCACTTGGCGATGTTTTTTTGAGGCATCTCGGAGTCGTCCTTCTTGCCTCTTCACATTTTTGTTCTCCTTTTGTTGATTTTTTTTTTCTTTCAAATTTGCTTGCGTGGTCGGCGGAGCCACTCTATTCGACCGTGGCCGCAGTGTTACTCTTTATTTTTTTAGGCATAAATGAAAGTAAACTTCACAAATAACAGAGCTCTGTTATAACAAATAAAAGAAAAAGAAAAAAAAAAACGCTGACGAGAACGGCACGAAGATGGGACAACAAGCGTCCCCGCCTTCTCCGCCGCTTGCAGATGCACATGGGACGCCTACGAGTTTCAATCGTTCCCAGGCCTGCCCCTGAATTGGAGCTACTTTAAATATTCAAAATGGCCAGCCGTAAGGCCCTCATCCTCAACCCGAACCTTTCACTTCGTCTTTTGCTCCGTGCAGCAGTCGGGGCCAATCAACGCCACGCAACCTTTTCCCGGTGCTTCAAAAGAAGCCGTACCCTCGAGCACCGGACGCCGTCTTTTGAACGGAGGCTGCCCTCGAGTACCATTCCCTCGAGCGAAACACCGCACAACAAGCATGCACGCAGTCTTTGTCCAGGAGGTTGCACTGGCCGCACGTTCGAAGCACGTGCGGCTACGAACTAATGTATGCACCACACGCCACGCTCGTTCTCACACCCCAAAGCAGCGGACGTGAGTGGAGAGGCAACACTGGTCGTGCCGCCGTCCCACGCTGTAAGAACATCGACCCAGCTGGGTCCAAACTATACACCAACTCATGTTTACAAACAAACCGGAGCGTCCTTAGCGGACGCCACCGGCGCCGCGCATGCGCGATGGGGGTGTGGGCAAGAAGCTCGCCGTCGCCCATAAACAAACTATTGAAATGCGATGTTGTCGGCGTCGGTGTGAGTCCCCCTGCCCTTTTCGCGTTCGAATTGTTTATTCTACGTCTTCCTGGCGATGTCTGACTATCTTGAGCAGCGTCAGCGTAATTACCGAGGCTCGTTACACCGCAAAACTTCGCGTGAACAATGTGACATGTGGCGATTCATTCCGCGTGGACGCCGCAGTATGCACGATAAAGCCTGATTCGCATGATGAGATTTCGCTCGCAATTTTCAGTCGCGACGCCGCTAGGGCTGCAAAAACGTGAACCGTAGCTGAAATGGCCGACGTCAATACTCAAAATCGCAAGCAGAATCGGATCAAGTGAATTAGGCATAACAAGTCGGTGAAGGTCACTGGTAACAATGATCAACATCTTTTTGTATCTACTGTTTACATCGAGCCTGCTTACCAACCTTCAAATTCAAGTCTTTTGAGGCCTGCACTTACTTCTTATCGCAAGTACCGGGCCAACATTTGATCTACGGGCCGGCGTCGTCTAAGAGAGCAGACGACAAGCAGAAACGTTTGAAAGAGCAGACGACAGTTCGAACAATCAGGCAGCCATTTGAACTTGAAGACGCACTGAACGTAGTCCGCAGGTTGTCCGCACAACTTGACGGTTTTCTAAAGTCCATGTTAGATCAAAACGAATAAATCTGATGACCAGAAGTATCCGTGAATTCAACCCAAAGTGCTTCCCGCCCAAGCAATCGTTGTCCGACGGCGTCTGCTTTTACCTTTTCTCGGCACATATCCAGATTCTCGGACGAACCGAGCATGTGAAAAATGACCTTCAAACCTTTCTCGACACTTTTGGTACGGCTCCAGTCGCGGCGCTTTGACGAGAAGGCAGGTTTTTGTCTGGTTACTTTCAAAACAACGCAGGAACATACGCCTGGCATGGGGACTTCTGCCCAAAGCCCCAGACCGGAAGTGCGAACGACGCGCCACCACTGCGCCGTGACGTCGCGGGTTCGACGTCGAATCTCTGAGGTCGACTGGTTCGTCGAACTTTCGACCTTCTGGCAAAATTCGACGAAATCACACTTTTGTATTTGGATTTGAATTTAGTGGCCATCTGTTGAATAGCAAGGACAAAAGGTGATACACCTGACAAAGGTATTCACCATTTGTCGGGCCCTACAAAACACCTAATGGCCGACCTACGGAATTGACTTCTGCCGGGCAGAAAATCGTTTCCCAGTTTTCTTCTCTCCACGTCTTCTCGCACTCTTATCTCCTCCTCTCCCTACAAAAGTGGGTCACTGAGCTACACCCCGCGGAAAGGAGGACGGTCTCCCTCTTTCGAATAGAAAGATGAATTGGGTGTGAGTTTTCTCCTTTCTGGGTGTTCGTCAGGCTTTAATTAAACATAAATAAAGTAGAAAAAGCAAAAAAGCTAGGCACTTTAATGCAACGCTCACATTCATATCTAAAATATATTCTTTTAAGTTGTATCCTTCTTTTAACAGAAAGGTATATCCAACTAGGTTCTTTTCAACAATATCAAAAATGTGTTTTGGTTTAGTAGTTGGGAAATTTGGTGCACCTGACTCTGTTCGCCAAGCCTGTATTTACAATATTTTCTGCAGTATACCAGACACGTTGTAAGTTATATGTAGTATACCTTTTTTATTTGCAGAATTAAATTTTATTAAACGGAGGTGCCAACCTTCTTCACAAAAAAAAAAAAGAATTTCGGAAAACAAATGTAGATGGTATTCGGTATTTCTATTAAATTTTAGAGTGTGATTACCGATGTTTTTTTTTTTTTTATATAAAAATATAAACTTTTAGTTACCTTCGTCCACCAGGCGGCGTCAGTTCGTTTTGAATATTTGCGCATGCGCCCAAACATCGACCTTCAAGTCCAATCTTTGTCGAACATTGC